CGTAACTCCCTGAATGGAACAATACCACCAGGGATGTTATCCTTTCCATCACTACATAGAATAGACTTGAGTAATAATCACTTATCTGGTCCCTTTGAAGATTTCAAGTCCAATTTGCTTCAAGGTTCACTACCCATTCTATCAAATTCCACAGTACTCTTCTTCATATCCCATAATAATCTCACTGGAGAAATTCCTTCATCTATTTGCAACTTAACATCACTGATAATGCTGGATTTGGCGACAAACAATTTGCGTGGAGAAATTCCGCAGTGTTTCGGAAATATCACTTCCCTCCAGGTTTTGGATATGCGCCACAACAATCTTTCTGGGAATATTCCAACAACTTTCAGTAATGGAAGTTCACTGAGGAGCCTCTACTTGCATGGCAATAAACTAGAGGGGAAAATCCCACAATCCTTGACCAATTGCAAACAACTTGAAGTTCTTGATTTAGGAGACAATCACCTCAACGACACATTCCCCGTGTGGTTGGGGACTCTGCCAAAGCTGAAAGTTCTAAGCTTGCGATTCAACAAATTGCATGGTCCCATCAGAACATCAAGGATTGAGAACATATTTTCAGAGCTCCGAATCATTGATCTCTCTTACAATGCCTTCTCAGGAAACTTACCTTCGAGTTTGTTTCAACATCTGAAAGCCATGAGGACAGCTGATCCATCAAAGGAACCATCAAAATATGGTGGAGATTCATATTACCAAGACTCGATAGCTTTCGTATTCAAGGGATATGAGCGTGAAGTTGTGAGAATCTTGTTTTTGTATATCACTATCGATCTTTCAAACAACAAATTCGAAGGACATATTCCAACTATTATGGGAGATCTCATTGCACTCCGTGTGCTGAATATATCTCATAATGGATTGGAAGGTCCTATACCGTCATCACTTGGAAGTTTATCTTTGGTTGAATCACTGGACCTGTCAAGTAACCATCTTGTAGGAAAGATACCAGCACAATTTGCTTCTCTTACATCTCTTGAAGTCTTCAATCTTTCCTACAATCATCTCGAAGGGTGCATTCCTCAGGGAAATCAACTTCACACCTTTGAGAACAATTCATATGAAGGCAATGATGGATTACGTGGATTTCCTGTTACAAAAAGTTGTGGGACAACTTATGCCGTATCTGGACAGCAAGACGGTGAAGAAAGCAATTCTGAATTTCTGAGTGATTTTCGGAAAGCTGCTCTTATGGGGTATGGAAGTGGACTATGCATTGGAATATCCATAGTATATTTCATGATGTCAACTGGAAAAACCGGTATGGTTTGCAAGAATCATTGTAAAGCTGGAGCACAAAATAATGATGAGAAGGAGAAAGAAGCAGCGAAGGCAAAGGAATTGCAGAAGAAGAAATAATCACTAATAATATTACTGTTATTTCTTTAAGGAAAAGATGTAATAAGTTGTAAACGTACTATCATTAAATCCTGTTCGCTTAAAGTGTGTAGCATTATTTGACCACGAAAATTGAGGGTGAGATAACCTTTAATGATAAGTTATATGCAATATAAAATCTTATGAACCATCCACAATTAGTTCATTAAAATTCCAAAATAATAAACCACAAAAAACAAGAATCTATTCGAAAAGAGATGAGAAATATTTTGTTCCACGACAGAAAATTATTTTATTCTTGTCCTCCAAAAGATGCATTGGTGGTGAATGAGATTCAAAATCTAGCTAACTATATTTTCTTTTCATTTTGCGCATTAATCCTTTTAATTAAAATTTTTAACGGGTAAGGTAGGAGAATGGGTAAAATAAAATGGGTCAATATTATATTTTTAACGGGTCGGGTCACTAAATGTTTTAAATGGTTATTTGGATTTTAAATAAAAAAAGTTATATCAGCAAATTTTAATTAAAATATCAATAAAATAGATTGAGTGACTTCCTGAGAAAACAATTGATAGTTGAGTGACTTTCGAGTTAAAATTCAAAGTTGAGTGTCTTTCTGAGAGAATAATGGATAGTTGAGTGGTTTTAAGTTAAAATACAAAGTTGAGTGACTTTCTAAGAGAAAAGTAGATAGTTGAGTGACCATTTGAGATATTAACTTATTCAATTGATGAGAAAAATAGACTTTTGTAATGTACAAATAATTGATATAAAAAATGAGAACAATAGTACAAATAATTGATATAAAAAATGAGAACAATAAAAAGCAAATAGGAAAAAAATAGTTTGATAGTCCATAAGAAGTGCTAAAATATTCAGAAGAACAATTACCTACTATGCAAACAGAAAAGAAAGAAATTATATCTTTTCACTAATTCAACCGTATAAAATCTGCATAAAGCAAAAAATATATAATTAATTGGTGTTGCAAAGTTAAGTTGGTATTCTATTATCCCAAAAACCTTGTATAAAACAACAATATATAATCACACGATATTCATGAAAAACACAAAAAAAAAAGAAGAGAAAATTGATCAATCCACATTTAGAAAGATACAACGGACTTTATGATATTTGCCATTTTAGAGCTTACCTTCCCTAAATTAAAATTTTGTTTTCATGTTGCCCAGAAGATTAAGCTGATGTCTTTCTTCAGCATCGTCTCTTAATTGATTTTGTTGATAAAGTATGAATGTTTGTTTCCCTTCAAAAAAATAAAAAAAATACACGTGATAAGAAAAAAAAAAATCTTTCATTCTAAAAAAATAAGAAAATACAAGAGTTGAATGTGGAAGATAAAGAAATATCTCAATTCTGAAAAACTTATGGGGGGTTATCTCTTAGGAGGAAATAGTTATATGTCAATGCGATCATTGAATTGCCAGGAAAGAAACGGTTGTTTATTAAATAAAAGTAATGACTTTTGGTATTTCTTGTCTCCTCTTTTTTTTTTTTTTTTTTGTAAAAATAAACTTAAATGAAGAGATTCTTTTAGGAAAGGGCAAAATGGTAATCCAACTTTGAAGTTAAAAGCTTCCACTTATACTAATACTAGTTTTTCGACACGTGCGTTGCACGTGATTATCAATTCAAAAAATTTAAGCGAAGATTTGAATAATATGCTTTGCACAAAATAATATTGCAGATTCTTTTGTGATTGTTCAAAGTAGATCATCATATATATCTCTTATTCACATGAACCTATGAAGATGGTCAATGAAAAGTTTCATTAGTTAAATATAGTAATGTATATACTTATTTCTATTTGAGAAGGTTCAATCATGTAATTAGTCGTATCTCACTAATATTACCTTAAAGATGATATTTGTTGTGTATTTCTCTTGTCATCTATCTAGATATGTTTTGTACATGTATTCCACTTAATATGTTTGGATGTCGTATGAACATGTGGAGAACAACTACATTTTATTTTTTAGAACTATTTTTGTAATTTTTATTTTATAACTTATATCATAATAGATGACGTTCATTTTGTTGGCTCTCATATTTGACTTTTCGATTGACTGTGTACATAAATCAAAGATAGTTATTTGAATGTTCATAGTTAACTGAGAAAGATTTCCTTTTTTTTACCGAAAAAACTAAAAATTAAAATTAAAAAATATATGCTATCTGTGAAATCATATATATAATCACCTGTTTATCTTACACCCAACAAAGATATAATTCATATACTTGTAAACAATTTTCAATTTATTCAACCAAGAATGATTCGTCCAAGGAAAAATAACAACATCATGTTATCACATATATAGGGGAGGAATAACTATATGAAAAATTATTGGTCAAAAGTTAATATAAGGAAAGATGAAAGATAGAAATAATTAATGCAATAACTATGAGAATTCATAATATTATAACTAAAAAGTGTAAAAGACCGTGAATAACATTTGCAATAATTAGTAATAACTAAGAGAATTTATAATGTTACAACTAAAGAATTATAGATAAATTTCTAATAAATTTTATACTTACATAAATAAATAGGACTTTTAATTTATGTTACTATTTTTTATATAGGTATTAGATTTTACTTTAGTGTAGGGACAAGATGAAAATGTTTATTCCATATTACTAAATATAAAATTTATTTTGTTAATGATAAACTTTAAATGATCATATATATTCACATATTTTCACATTTGTTGTGAGTTATTTTTCTTTCAAAAAAGGAACTCAAAAAAATTTTAAAATATATTTTGAAGTTACAAGATCTTGTAAACTTGATATATATATATATATAAATTTATTTGCATTAATCAAAATATATATCTCATAAAAATTAGCTATTAAATAAATACCAACTGGGCTTATTAGAAGTCATATGAACATTTTTTCGTCGAAAATACTGAAATATTAAGAAATAGAAAATTAGTAAATCAAAAGCGCAATGTTTACATAGTAACAACTATTTTGAAGCAAACTTCCTGACAATCTAAATCACTTAAGTAGCATTGATAAATAAAGTCATTCTTTTGTCTTGAGCATCAAATCAACAAATCTAGACAATTCTCTAACTTTTGAGAAGTTTAATAATTTTGGAAAAGATATTCTAGAATTTTGATCTACAACAACAGTTTCATATGCGTTGCAATAGGACCTAAAACCGTTGCCATAGCGCTACAGCAACGGTTTTACAACCGTCTCATCTACTCGCGTTACCATAGCTCTATTATAACAGTTAATGTCACGGTTCTTGAAAGTGTTGCTATAGGAACTTCTATTGCAACGGTTTTCTGTCCATCTATAGGCACTATAATATTACAACTGTTGTAACAGTTTACAACTGTTGCATTAGGGTATATGGTAACCGTTAGGAACCATTGCAATAGAGTATGTTGCAATAGATTGTTCTTATGGCAACACTTTTTTGAATATTTTGGCAACAATTTTAATTGATATTGCAACATTTTTATT